ATTAGCAGCTACAGTAGGAGGAGTAGCTTCAAGTAACACTCTCTTTGAGGATCCATAACAAGAAGAAGGAACGCTAGCTCCAGTAGAAGGAAGGCTGGCTCCAGTAGAAGGAACGCTGGCTCCAGTAGAAGGAATGCTGGCTCCAGTAGAAGGAACGCTGGTTCCAGTAGAAGGAACGCTGGCTCCAGTAGAAGGAACGCTGGCTCCAGTAGAAAGAAGGCTGGCCCCAGTAGAATGGGGTCTATAGTTTTGAAGTACTTTTGGGATATTTGGATAACCCAGTGAGACAGGTTTCTTCCTTATTGCCATGGTATCAGCCGGTCTAGTATTAGCTGGGTACCTCATGGCTCTTGGGTTCATTAATTGATTGACTAAACCCAGTGGGTTCTTCCAAGTGTAACGTGTTGTTATACCACATATTGTTGGGATTCTAGTGTGAATATCGCTAATAAAAGTCTCTCCTGATTCATGGACACTGTTACTAGGTATCACTAGAGGCCTGCCCCTTATGACACAGCATCCTGGGTAGCTATGGTAGCAGTAATCAACACCTTCCATCATAACAATAATTACCTTAGGAATGCTGTAGGATTAAAACTGAAGAATATTTGATAGAACAGTGACTGGGTGGCTGGTAATATAAACCCATACTAAAAGATATGAGAGGTTATTTATACATGCAATTATGTATTTAGTACATGAACATGTGTATACCAGGCCTGGGGTCAATTACAATTAAATGTAATCTATTACTATTACTATTACTTGGTGCCCTGTAATCGTTACTATTACAATTACTATTACATATTACTATTACCCCAGGCCTGGTGTATACATGAACATGTGTATACATGTATTATGTATAAAGTGAGTGACTTACTTGTTTCTTCCAATGTTGTCTTATTGCATCATAACTATTGAACTGACTGTTGGTGGGTGGAGTCACGTGAGATACTGAATAAACATGTGCTTCCGTCAAACTACATGTAATAATAATAATAATAATAAATTAATTAATTACTTTGGCAGTACGTGGCACTGATTTGTAGATATTGATTCCTCATTAATTATATAATTAATTCCTTCAGTAAACAATCTTAATACACTACTGGTTACTTCTAAATCAACAGGCTACAAAAACAAACAAACAATAAAACAACAACAAAGAACCATTTTACCTCCAAGTGTCTCACTGATAGTTTGTGTGAAGTGATTGATACTATTAACTCATTTACTGATACCTCAATATCCACTTCTAATTATAGTAACAAGAAAGTTAAAAATAGTAACATCTAATACTAACTCAATGCCAGTGTCTTTCCAGTTATAAATACGTCATTTCCTTTCACGAGCCACTCACTAATCTCATTCCATTTTGGTGCTAGTCTTCCTTTTAAGGTAAACTCATAACAGTGCTTCAACAAAGGTAGGGTCACATTGCCACCTTCTTCACCTAACAACTAACAAACATAACAAATAATCAATTATTTAAGTAGCTCACACATCAGAAAATATTATAATAAAAATGTAGGATTCTCTCCTTTTCATTTTTGGCAAAATTTGGCCAAAAATCCCTGTACTATTATAGTACAGAGACTTTGTCTGAAGGTCAGAGAAAATTTGTAAAATGCCTAGGTACCATACAATTACTTATTTATTTATTTACTATGCATTATTTACTATAGTTAATTAATTATTTACTTGAATATTAAATTTTGATGAGAGGTCCTGCTTCGCTGCAGATGTAAAATATTTTTTCTAAATATTTCAGCAAATAATAATAATAATGACAAGTCATGATGTACCTTACAAATGACGTAAAGACTTTTAGAGTCGATAGGACCAGCTAATAATAATGAATCATTCCTCACTAATTCCCTGTATGCATATTATATATATATACATCAATAGCAACGGCTACACTCACTGACCTTACCTGCATTTTGCTTTGACTGCTTGTAAAGTAGGCCCAGTAGTACCAGCTGTGAATATTTCTAACTGACTGAGTAGCTCAGACTCTAAAGGGGCGATATACACAAGAACTGATCCAGCCTGCAGTCTCCTACTAGCAGCCGCCATTTTGTAATTTATATGGGCTGGAACATTATCAGTTGCTATAGAAACAGCAGCCATTTTAAAGTGGGAGTGGTTAAACCTTCTTTATTATTATTGACTGTAAAGTGTATTCTGACAATGATTAATTTTTATCAAAAAAATTAAATTGTTGTGGTAGAGTGGTAGTTCTATTTGTGTAGTCCCTCCCTCCTCTCTTTAGCTGCCTCTCTCCCTCTCATTATTGCATAGACTGACCCGATTATAGCGTACAACATTGTTACTGACATCAGTCCAATCCTAAACCTTGAGTTAGCCTTATCCATTACTTCAGTGCTATATAATATAATAATTACATCATACTGTCCTCTAGGTATCTATTAGTTATTAACCTCACTTCTGAGGGTACATCTTTTACTGTTCTTGTTATTTTAAGAATAAAACGTCTAAAAGGAGTCACTTGGTGTTTAGGAATGGAAGAAGTTGAATAGTATCTGAACAACATATCAACTAGAAGAGAAACAGCAACAACAAGACTTGAACTTTGTACCCCAGTAACTCCACCCAATTGACATTAATTAATTAATAACTAATAATTAATTAACAATAACCATGACAACCACTGATTAATAGACTAACAATAAAATGAGAATTGATTGATGCACAGAGTGACAATACATTGGTTCCTTAGGCTCAAGTGTCCGACTGTATTCTGCTGGTAGGAGATCCCATTTGAGTGAGGACCTTGTCCAGCCATTGGAGTGACCCGTTCAAGTGGATTTCAATCCAACATGGTGTGCTGGTGACAGTGGGACGCCTGTATTCAGCACCCCAACCTTTCACAAAGCTTATCCTAATAGTACACATTCTGTTCAACTGGTAGACAGTCTCAAATCCTAACGACACGGACTGAGCTAGTCTGTTGGCAAAGTCCTGACTGTTGAACAGGTTCAACTGGCAACCTGGGGGAACCTTACAGACTGTAGCAGGGTGCCAGCCACACCGCAAGTTAGCGTTAGGCGATTGAACAAAAATACTACTAGCACTCAGACACTCTGCCCAAACTTCACCGCCTACATTATAAAGATGGACTCCTCTACCAATGTGACATCTGGTCTGCTGGATGACAGCATCACGATTAACATTAGACAATAGACCAAGACAGAACCTCTCGCTGGAGCTGGGGTCAGTCCCTCCATCAATAGTCAGGGAAGGACTGGAGCCGTGGAATATCTCACCTACTCGGTTCTTCATCTCATAATAGCTGACAGAGCACCAGTGGACCGGCTCTAGGTAGGTCACTGGTTGATAATCAGGACTCTGAGATGGGCCGGGGTGAATGGCTAAAGTAATAATAATAAATTAATAATTATTATTAATTAATAGATTGTCATACACGGTGACATTCCTCCATGTTGTGTCTGATAGACATCAGGAGATGGGACTGACAGTGGAGCCATTGAAGTAGGAGACATTATCGGTGACCCAACTATTAATAATATATAACATTATCATCATTATTATTATTATTATTATTATTATTAATTACCTCCTGAATAAGTGCTTAGATTACTGGCTGTGGCTCCGGCAGGACTACCTATATCACCATAAGCTGGGGGCGGGGTTTCCTCTAATAAAGACAAACCAATAACAACAGAACACATGTACACGTAGAGTACCAGGAGGAGGGTAGACAGGAGGAGAGGGGAACAGGTCTTGGGATGGGTAGACCCTGTTCTCAGGTAGTGCCTCCTCGGCCAGTGACGGCATTATGGAAGGAACCTTGTGCTCAACGTTAGTAGGAACAAGGACAGGTGGCAAGACTAAAGTACGGGATAGTAGATTCCTTTTAATAATGTCACTAGACTCTATTATTAACATAATCCTAATATGAGTAGCATCACTCCACTATTAGGGACTGGTTTAAAAAACTACTAATGAGAGTCAGAGATCATGGCAGGTGTGTAGGAGTCCAATACCACAGTACATGACCAAGTGTATACTTTATTAATAATCTAATTACACTACAACAACCAAAACAAACCCACTGCCCTACCTGGTGTCTCTACCCTCACATAGTGATATGGATTAACACACACATCATCTTTCTTGAGGTGGAAGGCATACTGACAGCTGTCGATTGCCTTCAACTCGTGATGATTCTGTAGATCAGACCAACGCCAGAGTCTGCAGTAGATGACATGGGGTAGACCTTTCCTAGAGTGTTGATAAATCACTAATTGGTAAAATGTATTTAATACATTAGTGCCAAAGGCAGCCCCAGGCAGTGACTGTACAAGTACAGTATTATTGGATGTACCTGTGGGATACCTGCAGTCTACCGTCCAGTGACCTGGCTATGGTCACACAAGATGTCTGAACACTTCCTTCAGTTGTAATAGCTTTCTCCAGCTCATCAAGGCCTCCTGTCCGCTTTAGCTTCTTTACCAAACTCTTGACAGCTTTTTCACTCCAATTCTCTTCCCCTTCGTCATCATCCCCTCCTTTCTTGTAGCTCAAGAGTCTTTTAACGATTGGTAAGGAGAAGGAAGGAAGAAAGTTGGCCATGTTGAATTTACTTGAAGAAGTTCCGGTACTGCTGATGGCCGCCATTGAAATGATTGCCCGAATAATAAGCACCACCTCTAAACCAACCACACCTTCTTGATTAAATATTTTCACCTGAGATTGAGTAAAAATATTTCCACTTTCCAAATTAAGTTTGGTCAGGTGTAAATAAATAACTTATATTCATAAAATTCACAAAATATACTTAAATACATTATTTCTCCAGTTGACTCTTTTCTCCAGTAAACTGTCGGTCTCGTTGCTTGGGATGGCATTAATGCTGGCATACTTATCGTCAGCACTATAATAATCTGATGCAATAGAAATATTATCCTAAATCAAATCAATCAAATAATGATAAGAGTATATATAGCATTTACTCTAGCTATCTTGTCAGCCTCTCTCTTATCTCTTTTAATGTGCATGAATTCTGATAGCACAAATCCAGTGAAGCCAACAATAATCATCATCATACCCACGTACACTAGTGGGAATGAGCTCCGTCTGTTTCTTATATAATCAACAATTACAGAAGCAGGAATAGCAGTGACTGTTCCAACACTAAACATTATAAATATAATGACACTAATAATTATTAATACCGAAGTAACTAACGTTGCAAAAAGTGGAGATGATAAAGCAACACAAATGAATAGAGAAGCATTGAAGGTTACATCAAGAACCGTATTGTACAATATCTGATATAATATATCTGCTCAACCAATGACAGTTATAAAAAGATGCGGAACAAACTGACCTTTACTAGGCCAATGGAATGGCTCCACATTTGAATAATGTAATACTATGAGTGGTGGCCTATGGACAATACAATCCATTGTAGAGGACTAGTAGTATTTGTATGGTATTACTCACCACATCCACAGTACAGTATGAATTCCCATCAATCCAACCATCCTCATGCCATTGTATCCTGAAGCGGGGTCATCCTTAAAACTAGCCAACTTCTTAAACAGGACCTCCATCAGGGCATAGAGTATAGTACTGGTCACTAAATACTGCAGCCATTGAGGAGTAACTGTATAGACTAATTGCATTACAGGATCACTTACAACATAACCAAGAACAGACTGATGAACAGGACCGGACTTATCCCTTTCAGAATATACTGACACTAGAGCCACTCCAGTAATGGAAAATGAAACAGCCAGTATCTATTCATAACAGTAACAACACTATATACAGAGGAGCTTAAGGACTGCAGGCATGCATACCTTAACAACAGTGACTGATTCTCTTAGCAAAGGGACCGATAAAATGAAAGTGAAAGCCACAGCAGATTGATATATGGCAACATTAGCAGGAACACTACATCATACATTTATTATTATAATTATCATCATTAATCATAGTACCTTGTTTGTGGTAGGGATAGGTACCAGAAATAAGCTGATAACAATGATGTGACACTAACCACAGCACTGCTCCACAATGCTCTCCTATCCTTCATGAAGTCATTGGTCCAATCTATTGTACTTACTTCCATGTTAATGAACCATCACCAGCTCTGTTGCATTTCAAGTTTCCAGGGAACTCTCTCCATGTTTTCCAAGCTACATACATGACAGCATACCAACTGTGAATCCAGTACACCATGAAATACGACTAAACACGGACCAGTAATATTAAGCAATCATAAATATATACTTGTGGGTAGCTTTTGAATAATCCTTGTAAAGTTACAGCCATTACGACCCCTACATGAATATTACCAATAACTGCTGGCAGTGAGAGCCTGCATACTTACACGTAGTTACAGCGAGTCCAATGCACAAGAAGGCACCAGCAAACCTGATCCAGCTAGTAGATCCACTCATGATCTACCAGCCAACAGTTGAACAATGCTATCTAAGGAACACATCACGTGAGGGCGTGGCTGTTTATTTATTTTTGCTTTTACCAGTAGTAGTGAGTGACTCTGCTGTCCCTTCAGTTGATGTACTGGAGCTGAAATGAATGGAGGAACTGGGAAGAGAACTACTTACCATAAGATTGCATATGATGTACTCCAGAGCAGAAGGTATGCCTATTGTATGTACCTATCCTTATACACTGTATCCTTAAGTATGCAACCTGCATATCCACTGGATATGTTATATGTGGTGTGTGGTGTGTCATATGTGGTGTGTGGTATGTTAAGATGTGGTATTTTGTTGAACATCTGTGAACATTTGACCACATGAACACTCACTCACTTTCAATGGAATGTACAACTAATCTTAATGTAGCAATATCTTGATTTCATCGTGTTCTTAAATAAACACAATCATCATTCACCATCACTTTTATTATTGTTGTTATTATTTTAGGCCACAAAGTGCTGTAGACTCACTGCTTGAAGCTGCAGAGGTGAGTTGTTTACTGTTGATCAATATTCATTACTATTATTTATCATTATTCATTATGCATCAAAAAGAATGCAGTATGCATTACCTCATAATGACATCATATTGTTCTTTTCTTTTTATAGATTGGTGATGATAGAAAGCTAATGGAATTAGTATCTAAATATAGAACAATAATCAATTTAAAGTGTGTGTCAAGTGGAGATACAGCACTCATCACTGCAGCTCGTAACGGACACTCTAATGTAAGTAATGGAGGAATGGTGATGATAATGGAGTGTGTTCTCGTGTTTGGTAGATTGTAGAGTATTTAATGAAAAGTGGAGCTGATCCTACACTTCAAAATGATATTGGAGAGAATGCTCTGGATGTAGCACCTCCACACATAAGAGACATTCTATTATGTAGTGATAATTATTATTAATTTATTTTGATAAATATACTAATTCTACTTTAGCTCAACTATCCAAAGAGAGGCCCTCTACAGCTAACAGGTTATTGCAAGCTGCTTGGTTAGGGGATTCTGTCACTGTTAAAAAGAACCTGGTTAGTATCAAAATTTTAAATGGATCTATTTTAATTAGAATATGCAGTCCGGCGGTATTATTAATGTGAACTGTAAGAACAGTGAAGGACTAACTCCTCTATTATTAGTAACAAGGGACATTAAAACATTTGATAAAGGTAATGATTTATTATTATTATTATTATTATTAATCAATTAATTAATAATAGTTCACAGAGTAATGAAGACAGATTATGATCCACTAGGTGTGATGCAAGAACTACTCAAACATAAAGCGTAAATTAATAAATTTATTTATTTTATTTTATTTATTTATTTTATTTTATTTATTTATTTATTAGTGATTTAAGAGCATGTGACTCCAATGGACGGACGGCATTACATTTAATATCAAATGAAGGATCATCATCAGTTGGTGCAGTCCAGGCTAAGAAAGTAGTCTCACTATTGCTGCAGAATGGGAGCTCCACTAGTAAATGAATTGATAATAATGTTAATAATATACTTACGAATAAACAGACATAACTGATAAGAATGGATACACTCCGTTGCATATTGCAGCAAAGAATGGACACACAGCTATCATAGTAGCACTGCTGGAGGAAGGAGAGACAGACATTGATTGTAGAGGAGGAGAGAATAGAGACACTCCTCTCATAATATCAGTAAATATATTAGTAACAATTATTATTATTGTTACTACTGATTGTTGTTAAGGTTAGAGAGGGTCATAAAGAAACTGCAGAATACTTATTGTCAAAAGGAGCTGATGTGACACTAACTGCTGACTCGGGAGATACTGCACTGAGTGTAGCTAAAACATCATCAATGACTGCTCTTATAAAAGGTAAAGATGAATTTATTCATTTATTTATTGATTGGTTTGTTTGTTTGTTCATTAGATGCGTGGGATAAATCAATAGCTAGTGAGCCAATTGGTGCTCCTTGTGAAGGTAGTGGTACTGAATCTGATTCTAACACTGATATTAACACTGATCTTAATGCTGATACTGATACTGATACTGATCTTGCTGGAACTGTGACAGCTCCATTCTTTATCACACAAAATAATGTAACAGGAATAAATTAAAAATTAATTAATTAATTAATTACTGTACAGGGTCAGTTAAGAAGCAGTCGCTCGTTGAGTGAAATAGCTACAAGATCAATTGAGAGGGTGGGGCAAGAAACCATGACCAGACTGGAAAGTGTTGATAATAATGATAAATACATGACCAGACAGTCCAGTAAATACATTATGTACATGAAAACACTATTTCTTCCTTTATAGGTACACCTGATCACTCTCAGTATAGTGAAGTTGAAGCTGATGATGAACAAGAATATAATAAAATATCAAAAAGACACACTCCAGCAAGAAGAAGATCACTCCTACGTCAATCACTGATCACTAGCAAGCGTAACACCACTAATGCTGAATCAGCTTTAAGGCGGAGTCAACTTGCATTAAGTAAATCAATGGAATGTTTGAATTATAATGGACACCATTCATCACCGACCACACCTACTGGGGACACACCAACCCACACAATATCATTCAATACACATACGGACACAACCACTCGTTATAAAGCCACGCCTTCAAAGAGATTCAGTTTACCAGCAGTACATGGAGCTACCTTAAGATCAGGTATGTACATGTATCAAAAGATGTAATGAAATTTTGGGTGACTTGGGAGCCATTTTTTTTGGAAAAAACCATGGGCTATAGCCTTGCATATTTTTCAGATTTTTGGCGTTTTCTTAAAATGGCCGTAACTCGAAAAATTGAAGTCGGAATCAGCTGAAATTTTCTACACAGCATAAGGACATCAATATATATCAGAAAATTTAATAAAAATTTGGGGTGATTTCGGAGCCATTTTTTGGAAAAAACCATGGGTTATAGCCTTGGGTATTTTTCAGACTTTTGGCGTTTTCTTAAAATGGCCGTAACTCGAAAAATTCAAGTCTGAATCAGCTCAAACTTTCTACACAGCATAAGGACATCAATATGTATCAGAAAATTTAATAAAAATTTGGGGTGATTTCGGAGCCATTTTTTGGAAAAAAGCATGGACTATAGCCTTGGGTATTTTTCAGAATTTGGGTGTTTTCTTAAAATGGCCGTAACTCGAAAAATTGAAGTCGGAATCAGCTCAAACTTTCTACACAGCATAAGGACATCAATATGTATCAGAAAATTTAATAAAAATTTGGGGTGATTTCGGAGCCATTTTTTGGAAAAAACCATGGGCTATAGCCTTGGGTATTTTTCAGATTTTTGGCGTTTTCTTAAAATGGCCGTAACTCGAAAAATTGAAGTCGGAATCAGCTGAAATTTTCTACACAGCATAAGGACATCAATATATATCAGAAAATTTAATAAAAATTTGGGGTGATTTCGGAGCCATTTTTTTGGAAAAAACCATGGGCTATAGCCTTGCGTATTTTTCAGATTTTTGATGTTTTCTTAAAATGGCCGTAACTCGAAAAATTGAAGTCGGAATCAGCTCAAACTTTCTACACAGTATAAGGACATCAATATGTATCAGAAAATTTAATAAAAATTTGGGGTGATTTTGGAGCCATTTTTTGGAAAAAAGCATGGGCTATAGC